CTAGAGCCCTACTGCACTTCAGAAAACACTCCACTCCTTGATAGCCTACCTAGAAGAGTGAATTTTATCTTCCCTCGTGCTCCTCCAAGATTTTAAGAAATTACCATTAGTCAGCTCCAGCTGTCCTTCCCCTTCACGTGACACATCAAGCAGCTCAGAGCTTCAGTCTCTCTCTCTCTGGCTTTCCGGTTGTGCTTTATGCAGCAGACAGGCCTCGTGGCTTCTATCTGATGGAATGGGAATGGGCCTGGCATGCCTTCTCCCCAGCGAGCTGCAGCCTGCAGCCCCCAGCTCAGCTCTCTCCTTGCTTCTGTACCACACTCACTGCAACTCCTGCAGCTCATTGTCAGAACTAATTAAGAGTATCGTTAACAGCAAAAAAAAAAAAAAAAAAAAAAAATCCTGAGAAAGCACATTTGAGCCAAAAGCTGAGAGGGACAGTTACATCACTGCCTCTGCTGCCTCCTCACAGAGGGCTGATTTTGGGGGACCCTCATCGTGGCCAAAGCTGCTACCAGGCTGCCTAAAGCTACAGTTTCAGAGTTGATGGAAAACACAGCTGAGAGATCCTTAATCTGATGTAACATGATTTATTTAAGTTCATCTCTCACTTTCTGACAGTGCATCAAGACATCAGCAGCAACGTGTTTTTTTCCCACCTAAGTTCCCACCAGTTAACTTCTTCTCACATCCCTTCCAGTACGTTAACCAACAGCAGCTTTGGAGGGACTTATAGAGTCCCTTCAAAAATTGCTTCTTAGGATGCAGGCTGACAGAAGGCCTTGGATGACCCGAACTCTTTGTGCCACCAAGGCCTGCAATCCCCTTGACTGCATTCTGCATCACAGTCATGCTGGTACCGACGGTCTCGGGGACAGTGATCCAGCTGAGAACCATTCCTAGCACAACCAAATGAGAAAGTAAATTAATAGCAGTTCAGGAGCAGCATTGCCACATGGCAATGAGCCATGGGGACCGTAGACACAGACACTTTCAGTCAAGTGTAAGACTGAACTAATCGTGAAACGGCATTTTTTGGAATTCCCAAAGATGGCATCCCATGGTAAGCACAGCACCAAGCACACGTTACTCTTCAGACACTTGATCAGCCGCTTTTACCACATACTCACTCAGAGCCTGGTCCTGTATGGTCACCTGGAGCAAAGAAGCACACCAGGCTCACCCCAAAGCCTCTGGCATTCCCATTTCCCTCCACGCCGTATCCTTTCAGCTCCATTGCAAAGGTCTAAGTTCACCCAACCCCACCACCAAAACGCGAGTCTCAAAGCCAGATGTATCTAAGACGGATTCCTAGAAGTATTTTTTCTCCTTTTTGTGTTGCTTTAAGACAGCAGAGAGCTTCATCCTACAATGAGGTGAGATGTAAACCTGAGAATGGTTTTGCATACCAATTCTGTAACCAAATTTAACAGTTTCATCATGCACACAGAGAAAGGCAAGGGAAACAGAGCAAACTAACGTGTACAACATATTTGAACACTGAGCAAAGCTGACGTACCACAATGCCTTACAGTCCAACCAACAGCTGCAAAAAGTCTGATTTACTGATTTCACCAAATTTCCATGCTTTTCCTCTATCTTCTGATTCAGGCTGGAAGGATCCTCTACAGGATAGCACAGATTTAGAACGCTTCCTATTGAAATTCTGAAATCCTTTCCCCTGCTGCCCTATTTATCTAAATTACATTTTACAGAGCTGGAAAGGACACAAGTTGGAAAACAAAAGCCTTTCTTACTTCTGCTCCCTAATATTCCTGAGTCCTCTGCATAATCATTCAGTTTTGATAACCCCCTTTTATACGCCATACTGAACAATAGCAAAAATAGGAAGGGCTACAAAGAACAACAAATCAAATTAAGGGTTTTGCTATTCATTGAGGGTACATGAAACAAAGGAGGACTAGCACTATCCAAGAAATCAGACCTCCTCTCCGAGGCATTTTTAAATTGGTCTCTAAGTAATTTGAAGCAGATTTTGCTATTAGGACTGGAAGGAGAATGCAGGCTTCATATACGGGGCCTCAGCAAGACCCGATAGGTGAACAATGGTCTCTGCACCATATAGGGCAAACTCTGATTATCTAAATCTTAGTTAATCAAAAGCAGTTATGTGAAAGTCAAAAATGCCCTCCAAGTCAGATAGCTCAGTGAGATCAGGACTTACAAAGCACGTAGAAAGCCTGAACTCCCCAGGACCAGGAGTGCAGACTGAATTTTAAGCAGGATAACAGGAGGAGAGGGCTTTAACAGTATCCCAGCCTCCCAACCCAAGGGCAGGCTTCAGAGCCTGCTAAAAGATTACCTTTGCAATTACTTGGACATTTTTGGTGTCTCCTTGCACCCTGAGATTACAGGATACTCAGACTGCAGTTCCACTTTGGCATTTACAAACTGACTACTCTGGGAGAAAGTCTCCATTACAGGCAGAGCTGGTAGTGCCACCTACTATTAAGGCTGCTGATACTTCCCATTACAAGACCCTGCTTTCAGTTGTTCACAGTTCTGAAAAAACATCCAAACCCTTACTCGTGCTGTCTCCATTTTTATTTGGGGGTCACTAACATTTGGTTTTGCTTATCTCTTACATTCTATTAAGCTAGTTTGCTAGCAAAGCTATACACAATGGTCCAAAAAAAAAGGTTAAAATTATTAAAAAAAATAATCCAGCATACACAGTCTGTAGCAAAGGGAAGAACAAATCTGTTCTTTGCATTTATCATGGAAAGAACAAACGTGGACAAAGTTCAATCTGAAATATTAGGAAAGATTTAGTAACGCATGGAAAACAAGGGACGTGGACTGTCAGGGTAGGCAACAGCACCACAAATGTTTTAAGGCAGGCTGCTCAAGCCCTCCACAGCAATGCTTTATATGCCATCAGTCGTATCAGGAAATAGGAACGCTCCTGAGGACTACTGGCAGTGCCACTCATGTCTCATTTTCTGTGATTTCATGCTCTAGTTCAGGCCTCGTCCACAGCTTACAGGAGATGCAGGCCATGCCAGATGTCTGGAGACCAACAACAGCAGAAGGATGACCCGTCTCCTGTACTTTCAACTGTCCCCTTTGTTGGGACCACGTAGCATTGCACAGCAGTTACCCACTCCAAATACAAACAAATAATAATCTAGAGATGTAGAAGAAGGAAAGTAAATTGGGACTAGGAGCCTGAGAATCGAGAGGACATACAGTTATTCAGGAAGAAAGATATGAGACAAGTTTGACTGCAGTAGGAGCAGGAAAGGATAGACTTGGATGGGACAAGCTATTGACTGGAGCTCATGAGGAATGAGTGAGAAGATCCATCTCACCTTAGCCGTTCATGCCAGGGTCACATAAGGATGGAAGAGAAGAAAAAACATGTCTATTTGTGCATGCCTAACACTGCAAAAAGTCACCATTCCTCTGCTGTCAGCAAATCTATAAAACCAACTGGCAAACACACATCAAGCCAGTCTGTGCAGAAAACGACAGCTAATTACACATTCAGGGTAAGTGGCAGAGGTCTGTGGGATGCATCTGGAACAGCCAACCCTGCTACTGATACTGGCAGAGGTCATCGTGGTGCCACATGGACTGGAGCTGGGGGGATGGAAGGATGGCTGTCTGGTTTTTCTTTCCTTTTTTTTTTTGTGGAAAAAAATAGCAGGCACTCATGTGATTAAAGACCATCAGAAATAGACACAGAAATACAGAGAGCAAACAAAGGTTTCCTTCCCAACTTAAAATATGGAAATGCCCTAGAACTGAAGTGCCTTCCCATTACCATCTCGATACTCTCAATTCAGTTAATGAATAATGTTGCTGAATCGTATCAACAGACAGTTTTGCAAAGCAATATAAATAAATCCATCAGATATTTTAAACAAATCACGCTGTTGAACAGACCCCGCATTTGTCCCATTTTCTTTTCTATATGCGAAGCACACTACTTTTACATGGCTTTCACTCGATCATTAATTGCTTTCGCTTCTGGGAACCCTACAAAAGCAGCCTATCCACTGCAAAAACCATCCTGCATGGCACAGCATCACAAAGGACTCCGCATTAGCAAACTAAAATGCTTTTGGGAGGAATGTTAACATCCTTCTACTCAGATTCCAGGAAGAAGACCTGACTACATCCCTTCAAGTGTTATTCAAGACCACACTGAGGCAAAATAACCACTTCCTCACGAGTATTTAGAGGAATGCCCTTTAGTGAATTCTTTGACTTTGCAGCTAGGAGGGAAATAGGTCAGGCATTTTACCTGAAGCAGTTAATAAGCCAAGAACCAGAAAATAATGAAAAACAAACAATAATAATAATAAAGATCACCTCTCCCCCCCAACCCTCTTTGCACTGGTAATGGAGGGAATATTATAGTAAAATGATGGTCAATGCTAATTAAATGCACTGGAGCCATCATAAATGAACAACTTGCAGTGAAAGGCATTACTGATATTAAGGGCTCCTTCCTTCTCAGCCTCCAACTGAGGATATTTTGGGTAGCTCGCTACAACCTTCTGCACCAATCTAGATACTTCACAAATTATCAGTTCCTAAGATAGCAATAAAACAGCATTTCACATTACATAGCTCTTCACCCGAGTAGGAAGGCGTGCACTGAGGCAAACCCATGCCCCCTCCTGTCCCAGCTCCCAGATATGTGGGATCAGCTTCCCAGCCACTTGCAGAAGAAACGCGCTGCAGAGCAGTGGGGTTTTTTCTAAGACAGGGACTTAAGGAAATGGCACCGCCGTATCAGGTTCCCTTTGCATTGCCATCCCTCCTAGGCAATGCTACATGCGACTTCTGCCATCCCGAGGCTGCCCCGTGAGTTTGCTTTTACACCAGCACATCTGAAAGCGCTCGGTAAAGGTGATAAAGGGGAAAAAGCCCTTAAGAATAAGCCTTTCTTAACCAGCAGTTAAATTCCTATGTATCCCAACAATTACAGACACAATCCATAGGCCCACATCAAACAAACAAGTCCTTACATCAGGGCAAGCGAGCTGCAGGTCCATCCTTCAATCTCCGGGGGAGATTCTCCTGGAAAAGGGCCTGGCCAGGACTCCTCTCACACAAACCTCTGCTGCTGACATGGTGCCCGCAGCGCTAAACCGAGGTCCTACGACAAACAGCAGAAGGGAGGCAAGAACTAGGGGGTACACAGAGGCAGAAAGTCAGGTAACGCATAAACAAGCACCACGTTCAGAACGGCAATGAAAGAAAAAGAGCATGAGGCCGTGGGATACAAGAGCAATCCCCTTCAGACAGCTCATGCAGGGGGGGGACACCAAACCAAGGAGCAAATAGCAAATAAGCTGAGGGAGAGGGGGCTGCCATCCTCCAAGCAAGGAAAAGGGCTGGGGAATAGCGGTAGCTCCCTAGAGAATCCCTCAATGCATGGAAAAAGCTCTTTCTTCACCACCACCCCCCTTTTTCGGGGGGAAGGGTGGGGGAAGGGGGAAGGAAGAGATGCTGGAGCATCCAGCTTGCCAGAGGGAAGGAGATCCCAAAGCAGCGATACGGGGACAGGAGGAGAGGCACTCAGGCTCCCCTGCAGACAGTTCAAACAAAGGAGGATGCTCTCCTACAACAGGATGCTTTGCACGTTTGCAAGGTGGCCGTCATGATGGGCATCGCCTCTGGTCCCCAAATCCACCCTCACTGCCTGAGCCCAGCATGAGCACAGACTGCTGTAACGGGAGGTAGGGAGAGATAGGGGAAGAGAACGAGGCAGAGTAAAGAAAAGGAGACAGAGAGGCCTTTAATGAGTCAGCTGCCGCTCTGATTTAAATAAGATCTCCATTTATGGAGCTCTGCCTTTTTTTTTTTTTCCTTTTTTTTTTTTTTTAAATTATTGGCTGAGTGAGCAACTTTGGGCCGTGCAAGGTTGTCTCCAGCTGCACACGGGGTCTGGGAGGGAAAGGGTTATGGAAGGGGGAAGGGATGAAAACCTCTGGAAAAAATGAGGCTGCTCGCTGGTTCGTTTTAACAAGGACATAAATTAGTCTCAAAGCCACAAACGCCATCACCTCCCTGAGCCCTGGGCAGAGCACAGCGAGCGAAACACGTGCCAAGATAAACGGCTCTGGCTGCAGCCGCTGAGGGGTGCTGGGGGACAGGAGGGGGCACGCCAGCGGCGAAGGCACCTCGGATGGTGCTGCAAAATGGAGCCCAGTGATCCCACAACCTCACAAAAGGGGACCTTCAGATGTTCCTGCCTACACCCACATCAAAAGGCAGCCACTCAAGGAGGAGAAGGAGGGAAACCGGGGTGCTGCAGGCTGAAAATAGCAGCTTGCCCTGCTCTGGCTTTAATTACGGCGAGTAGCCCTTCCTCCTCCTCCTCCTCTTCCCAGCTTGGAAGAAGGCCCGCGCGCAGGCAGCAGCCCAGGTGAAAGCTCCATCGCGGCAGAAGGGAGGGGAGCAGACAATGGCGGGGTGATTCATTACAAAGGCACACGGCCCTGCGTGCAGCGCTGCCACATGGGCTGCGGGACTCCCGACAGAGGCAGAGCTCCCCTCCCGCCCCCTGAGATGCTCAACACCTTCCCCCTCTCCCAGCTCTGATGGGAAACAGATTCGGAGGAAAACGCCAGCACGGCACTGGGCTGTCCAAGAAAGGGAGGGCTTTGTGCTCCGCGCAAGCCAGCAGCCTCGCCATGCACCACAAGGAGAAAAAGCCCTTAAACGTGGAATTCCCATCCACCCAAGAGTTTCTCTTTCATCTGCAATTAGCACATGTTGTACTGGGCTCCGTTTAACACTCATTTTCACCGATTTAGGATTAAGGGGGGGGGATCAGAGAAGGGCGCTTTCTGTTAATGAATCTGAGCTCTTGCTCTCATTAGCTATTTAGGTTTCCTCTTTTTCCCTTCCAGCACCTCCCATCTATCGCTATTTCCATTCTCCTCACCCCACACGCTACCATCTACTTTGTCTCACCATCCCCTCGTGCCTATACAGGAGCTCATCTCCCACATTTCCAAAGGAAACGGGCAAGCTGCTCCCTAAAAAGCAACAGACAAGGCAGACAGCGGCGTCTGGAGATGGAACCAAGCAGAGCAAGGCACTGCTACAGCAATGCCGAATTCATTCAGCAGCTTCAGGCACCAGCAGCGTGGACTTTTCATAAGCTAAATGGAGCCCCAAGGAAGCAAGTTCACAAGCTGTGAATGAGGCCACGCCACTGCAGCAAGCTGTGGATGGGGACATCGCCCTGGAGATGCCACGGTCCCCCATGCAGCCCAGCACTGCGGTGCTCATCTAAGTGAGCATCATCATCATCCCCAGAGCCCCAGCCAGGGGAAGCCCAAGCTCTCCTCCCTTACTGATGGGGTTTTCTCACACGTGCATCTCCCTCAACATCAGTGCATCACTATGCGGTGCAAACCCTGCAATCCTAGCCTGGGTACTGCATGCTCTTAAGACAGCTATAATGCAAGGTCAAGCAACGCGAACAATGTGTGGTCCACAAGGGTATCTAAGAACCATTACAGTAGGAAAAGACCACTGAGGTCATCTAGCCCAACCGCATCCCAAACCTCTAGGTGAATTTGTGCCCTCCCATTTCACCTAGTGCTCCAGCAGCACCCCATCCTCCCCAGCACCTCTTTTTCTGTATCAGTCAGCTTTGGGGTGCCAGCTCCCAGGCACGCACTGACCGCACGCACTCAGCGCCATCCTGCACTGCATAACGGTGGTGGCAGGGAGCACCCTGTATATACAGCTGTGCATAGCAACTCCAGAGCGTGCCCACAGGCATCCCCTTCCATCCAGCCTGGCATAGCCCGAGCATGCAGCCACACACAAACGGACCCCGCCTGCAAAGAGACAGCTTTTCTGCATCACTCACGGAACTAAACATAGGTTCAGAGTGCCTCCGGAGATTTCTGCAGAGCTCTTCAGTCTTAAAACAGAAAGCCTCGGTCCAGATATAAAGGAATCAGTAATGGATGGGACGAAACAGCAGGAGCAGAGGTGGGGCTTGGGAGATACCTTACTGCATAGGATGGAGACCCATTTTTCAGCCCCTGACAATGCAAGCGGGATGGGAGATGAAAGGGTCAGAGAGGGTGTCCCTCCCTGCAGCAGATTGCTCGGCCCCGTGCAGTGGGACATGCAGAGCTCGGTCAGGGCTGGCACAGGGGGACACAGCCGGGGACAACGAGTGCAGCCAGGGCTACAGTGTGCGTCTGGGTAGGAAAATGCAAAGCTCCACAGGAAAGAAAGAAGAAAAAAACCGAACTGAAGAAAAGTTCCTTGCGAGAGCCCTTCCCTCCGCCTCCCCTCAAGAATATCCCCCCAAGGTTCCCAGCTCCGCAAGGCACTGCGGGGCATTATATAATGCCCAACTCCAAAGAATTCCAGCTCTGCGATGCCGCTCTCCTCCTCCCTTTGCCCCCCTCCCTCCGGTGGCGACTTGCAGATGCCATGCCAAAAATAACAAGTTTTTTTTTTTTAAAAAAAAAAAAAAACCGACCCAAATCCCAAACCACGTAGCAGCCTTACAAGGCGAGCAGCGGGCGATGCACACCCCTCGACCGCCGGGCAGCTCTCGGTTCTAGGGGGGGCCGCTCACCTTTGTGCTCCCCGGGTCCGGCGGCCGCAGCCCCGCTCTCCCTAGAGGGCAGTGCGGGACCCCCGCACCAGGTGAGCGGCGGAGCGCCGGGGCTCTCTCCCACCCACCCCCCACCCCCCGGGCTCCGGCAGAGCCCCGCGCTGCCCTCTCGCCTCCGAGACAAAGCCGGGCACGGCAGCCGCCCGCCAGCCTTACCTGAGTTACCATTTTCTTTTTCTCCATAAACCAAAATGGGGGAAACCCGGCAGCAGAGGAGGAGAAAGGGAAGGGAGAAGGGGAAAAAGGGGAGGGGGAGGGGGGGGGAAAGAGAGGGTTGGAAAAAAAAAAAAAAACTAGGAAAAAAAAAAAAAGCAGCAGCCCCGAGGAGGCGGGCGGGCGGCGGGTGCCTGCGCTGCACTGCCTTGCCGGCGCGGTGCCCCCCGAGCCCTTTTTCCTCCCTTTCTTCTCTCGTGTTCCTCCCTTTCTTCCCCCTTCCTCCCGCCGCCCCCCCCCGGCTCATCCAGATGGCTGCGGGAAGCACCGCCCCCGAATGCCGAAGGTAATTAATGCGAGCCGGGCCCGCCCCCGCCCCGCCCGCCTCGCCCCGCCCGGCCCGGCGCGGCTCCGGAGGGGTTCCGCGGCTCCGGGAGCTCCGGCCGCCCCCCGCCTGGCGGAGCGGCGCTACCCCCAGCCGGACGCCGCGGGGCGGAGGGGCGCGTCCCGGCGCGGGGTGCTGAGCTGTCAGCCCCGCACAAAGGGGAGCGGAGGGGGTGCGCGGCCCGGGTGCTGAACCGGAAGCAGTAGCAGCGCCGGGAGCTGCGTTTCGTTCGTGATAAAAACCGGAGGGCGCCGGGCTCCTTCCCAGCTTGCTTATTTCCCCCTTTCCGCACCTCCCCGTTTATCTTCAGTGAGCATCTGGCCCTCATTACTTCCGCACCTGAGCTGCCTGCGGCTGGCGGCATTCCTTCCCTAGGGAGCCCAGGAAGGACCCTCTGCTGGTGCCTCACTGTGCAGCCGGACCCCAAACACCCAGATTTCCCCAACGCGCTACCCAGACACCGTGCACGGTTCCTCAGCCAGAGCAGAGTGCTGAGCTGAGCTGCCCTTCTTCTTGACCCCAGGCCCTCAAGGGGCTCCCCAGGCTTTTCTAGCAGAAAAGACAGCGCAGTAACACCTTTCATCCCCGTTTGCTCTCCTTTGCATTCATAGCCTCTTATAATTTACACTTAGATATATACACCTAGTGGTGATTCTTCACAGCCTCGTGTTGCTGTGCTGCTCCATTCTGCTTCCCAATCTGATGGCTGCAAACCCACCTCCTCCTCCTCCCTCCCTTTCTCCTGTTCTCCTGCCAAAGGGCAGCAGGAGCCTCGCAGCCCGACTCCCTCCTTTGCTGTGAAAAGCCCGAGCAAGCTGCTGCCTCACTGCTCTGCTGAGATGCAGAGAGCCCCAGCGGGCAGCCTGCTGTGTGGTCCTCTGGGAGGCAGCCAGGCCTCACACGGCCCCATGGGGCTCTGACTCAGAGTCCGTGTTCTCCTGAGTTATTTCATCCTCTCCACTAACTCACTTTTGAAGACACGACAGGTTTGCGGGCCATATTGCACAACTAGGGAAAGTCTTGGATTTTTTTTTCCCCCTCTATTACAAACCTGAGATTCCACAGCACAATTCTGGGTCAAAACACGGTGACCTCCTTATCCCTTCGCCACGACAAAGCTCTGAGTTTTAGCTACATGCATCTCGTCTTCAGCTCTCAGTAAATCAATCAGCATTGACTCCATTCATTTAAACTTAATTCAACTTTCGCATTCACCCAGTTTCTATTGTGCCACAGGGTGGCAATTTCTTATCACAGATCAAAGGATATAGTACGGACCTTTAGAATCACAGAATCATAAATGTTGGAGAAGACCTCTAAGATCACCCGGTCCAACAGCCAGCCCATCCCCACCATACCCACAGAACCTCAGTGCCACATCCACACAGTTCTGGAACACCTCCAGGAATGATGACTGCACCACGTCCCTGGGCAGCCTGTGCCACTGCAGCACTGCTCCTTCTGAGAAGAAATCTTTGCCAATATCCAACCTGCCATAGAGGCATGCTACATTCATCCCATCTCAGTGAAACAGCATCATTTTCTAAACCATTCTGGCCTCCACCTTAAGAACTCTCGGAAATATCTGCCTCAGAAGAGTCATTTGCAGAAAGGAGAGAATGGGTAAGTCCCTACTCAAACACTGTGCCCTGCCCTGCGTTGCCTCCTGCCACCCTGCTGGTACAACTGCTCTGAGCCTGTGCCAGAGGACTAGGGATTCCCATCGGTCTGAAGCATCTCCTCTCTCTTGCTTCAAGTTTATCTACCTTTGCTCCTGTCTGGCAGAAGAAAACACCCGATTTTTAATGGATAAGTTCAGGCAACAAGAATCACAGGTCCGCAGGAGATCTGACTGCCCCCAACCCATCTGAACTGAACATCTAACACAGAGTTTCAAGAGCTTCAAGAATACCACTGAGAACAACATGATACTTGTTAACACTTGAGGTCTTTGTTGTCTTGGGCTCACCCTGGAGCCAACAAAGCAACATCCAATAATGAATAAGGCAGATAAAATTAATTGGTTGATCCGTGCCAGTCACCCTTCCCCCTGAGGACTGGGGTTCAAGCACCGTCTGACGGTCAAGCACAATAAGCTTGGTGGGCCCCTGCTTAGCTACCCTTTTATGCTCTCTATAAAAGGCAACCAAGGACCCCAACTGCAGAACAGACCGCTGAAAGCAACAAGAATGCACAAGCAGAGCTAAGCACTGGAAGCCCAAGGAACATACTGCTTGGAGCCATGAGATCATCCCTTCCTACTTACTGCATTTATTCAAAAAGCACATATTTAGAACAGATCTAGATGCCAATACTTGTGATTCTCAAGGGGGTTTGTGCATCATAGGCACACACGCACTGAAACTTCTTTCCTATACTGTGGAAGTGGCATTATAGCATCACAGAATCATTAAGGTTGGAAAAGACCTCTAGGATCACCTGGTCCAACCGCCAGCTCATCCCCACCATGCCCACCGACCATTCCTCAGTGCCACATCCACACGGTTCTAGAACACCTCCAGGCACGGTGACTGCACCACCTCCCTGGGCAGCCTGTGCCACTGCAGCACTACTCTTCTCTTCCTGAGAAGACATTTTCCCTAATATCCAACCTGTGCTCACCTCAGATGTACCTGATGACATAGTTCCTATCATTCACACCCTATCAGGAAATGAGTTGGATGAGACCGTTCAAGCAGCAGGTGATGGAGCAAGGCTGCTGAGATCACGCTGGAGAGAGAACTAAGGAACTAACCTTCAGCTGGATCACAAGTGGTTTACATGAACACTTCCAAAGTGACAGAAATGGAGAGAGAAGAGAAAGCCACAACCACTCTGCTTTCAGTAAGTTTCAGGACTTTTTCTTTTGCTATGCCTCTAATTCCCCTGTGCCGCTAGGGTGGAAAGAAAGCACAGCCTTCGATTTTAACATCCCATTACCTGCATTTCTGTGCTGGCTCAAGTTTAGATGGAGCAAACCTGCCAGCTGGATCAAGGCCAGAGGGAGAAAAAAAAAGGTTCAAGTGCAAAGAACCAATTTATCAGGAACAAATCTTAACAACCAAAAGACACACTTCTGGTGGTGGAGCCTATTCATGTACGTAACAAAACCCGCGGTACAAGGTAACCTAACAAAATACTCTTTAGCAGCTATCTGAACTATCTCAGGGTAGATAATCTTCACCTCGTAGTCTACCTTTCACATTTTCTGGATGAATTTGGGGCCTCTGAGGACGAGGAATGCTGACACTGAATAGCCGAGGGCTGCACAGAGAACATCATCCTTCACTTGGCTCCGAAAGCATTCGAGCCTGACCCACGGCCTCTGGCTTCTCCAAGACTTCACAGGACGGGCCAGGAACGCACACGTGTGCTCCAAATATAGCCCCCTCCCCAGCAAGGCTTGAGCAAAGTGCTGCACCCATTCCTGTCGCCCTACAGATCCTTGCTGGGTCTCCAAGAACGGTAGATGACAAACAAGACTTTGCTCAAGGTTTTGTTGGTGGTTTCAGGGGAGGGAGGAGGAAAGCGGGCGAGCAGCCGCTCCCGGTGGCTTGCCAGCCCCGAGGGACAGACTGCAGTCACACTCACAAGTCACATGCCCTGGACAAAGCAGCGAGGCACTTGACAACACAGCAGTTGGCAGAGCATGACATTGCTGTCAAATCACACCTCCCCCCCCATAAAAAAAAAAAAAAAAAGTATTTTAAAAGCCAAAAATGCAAAACAAAGCACACAGGTCTCAAACACCGCAGTCCGGAAGTGCCAAACAGGAGCTCTCGCATGCAAGGAGGCTCAAGGCAGAGCCTCTGGGGAGCCGAGGCCTGGCACGCGCTGAGCAGCGCCCTACCCAACCTGCGCACAGGCTGCGGCGTGCCCCAGGAGCAAGCACCGCGCTGCCGTACAGATGCCGCTCTCCTCCCGCTTACCTGGACAACTGGGTATTGATAATCCATACAATACACACCATACATAGCCAAAGATCCTCCAGGTGAAGGCCAAGAGGACGCGGGACTGGAGGCTTCAGACGCGAGCCTCCGTCTCTCAGCCTGGTGGGAAGGACTCTGGCAGCCCTGCGCAGTGCTTGGCTCAGGCCTCTGGGGCCACTCAGGTTGACACTGGCTCAGCTGAAAATAAAAAGGCGCTGCCTGGCTCGGCTCGGCTCAGCCCCTCTCTTCTGGGATCCAGCGAGGCAGCGCTCAACCATACGCAGCGGAGGCTCCTAAAATTAGAAATCCCGTACGGAGAATGGCCCTGGAAGCCTCGACCGCGCGGCGTCCTGCAGTGCCCGGGCAGCAAGTGGCGTGGCTGCCGGGGAGCAGGGAAGGCAGGATCCTCGCTGCAGCCACCAGGGATGGAAGGAAGCAGACAGCATTTCGGATCTGAAGAGAGCATATGTTCTGGGCTCTAGGTGCGTCAGAGGGAACGCTCCCAATCCAGGACAGCGAAAAACATATGGGACTGCTCCTCCCCCAACCCCAAACTCTCCTTGCCGCCCCAGGCAGGGACAGGTGCTGGGATTAGCGTTGCAG